TACTTTCGTCTGTAAATAATCTGGTTTCAATCAAAATTTTGATATCTCTCGTCCGTTTGCAGTCGTTCTTTTCGGTGGTTCTCCATAAGAAGTATTGTAACTTCGTTAGTATATTTCACATCGTCTAATAGCTCTCGCGCTAATGTCAACACCCCATTTTTTCCATATTCCGTATTTGTTATGCTATTTTCCATCTTTGCTATTTCCGTTATTTGTTTATCTTGCCCTGTGACTTTTTTTGGACGTAAAGTTAATCGAACATCTAACGCCTGATTATACCTATAATTATACAGATTATCAGAGTATCATTCTTGAATTTCGGAAATTTTTGAGGGATGTTGTTACTTGATTTCTGGCACAGATACCGCTAAATTTAGCTATATAAATAACGTCTCGTTATAAAATGCTCGTTGTAAATGCTAATATATTGCTCGCGTTATGAATGCTATATAATATGAATGCCATAAGGAATAATTACCTTCAATCGATAGATTTTAACTTTGCCGCATTATAACATTCCCTTAACATTTGACCAACGTTTTTTTAATTTCTTCGAAAAATGTAGCAAATGAAGAAATATCGATTTCTTCATTCCCTACAAAGAGAGAATTCGATCCAAGGTTTTGGTTTTGGTTTTGATACTCATTGTAATTTGTTAATGAAACAAAAAACCCCTATCTTCGCTCCGTAATCAAAGCATTGTTGTATAGTTTGCCCATTTCATTGCGTGAGATTTCTTGGCTCCGTAAAGCGGGTTATGCACGTAATGGTGATAGAAAGACCTAAAGCAAAATGCCTAATTTTTTCTATAGTAAAATCGGGTTTGATAAAAATAAGCAATTGTTTTTTTCTCAAGTAACAATAAAAATAAACAGTCAACGATGGAATAAAATTTAACATTCATTATATGAAACTTTATTGAAATGGCCCCTTGGTGTTTATACGAAGCACAGGAACAAAAATTCATTTTCCACATTAAATTTATTTAAAATAAAATTAGCTTACACATTAATTTCATTAAAATTCTAATTTAATATATACAATTAAAGCTTTATACAGTATATTAAAATAAAATTTAAAATATTTCTAATAAAGTTATAATTAAAAATAAATTTAGTATTTTACGATTTCGAACAACTAGAGTATATGTATCTATTATGCAATGATCCAGACAACCCGTGTTCCAGTTTGTCTGGACCGTTTCACCCTTATAAACCTTGCAAAGATATGCATGAGTTTCATAAGGAAAAAACTACGTAATAAACAAATTACAGTCAAACCTTTCTATAGTCGCCGCGCTTGGGAAAGCAACATCATTAGGTGATTATAGTGAGGTATTTTAATTATAGTTAATTAACGTTAATAGCTGGGCAATTCAAAAAGGCAGGGACAATGATTTTATGTGGCAATTATGCATGCAATAAAAAAAATTATATATAATTATGCGCAATGATAATAAAGAAAAAGAATTAAAATAAAGCATAGGTATTTAACTTTTTAGTGATTCAAGTGATATGTTTTGACACTAAAAAAGAGATGTATTTTTCTTGATATTTCAAAAGCTAAACGTTCATTTTTTTTCGTTACACATCAATCTTGCGATTTTTAGTTACATACAAATTGTAATATATAAAAGTTGGAATCGAAAGTGTTATAAATCATCTCCCGATTCCAAACTTTTTGTCCATTTGAGTGTATGCCTTAATTATCTCCGCCGTAACTATATTCAGACTGGCCCAGAAATCCCAGGTCCAAGACTAAAAAGTAGGTTCATGGACCAAACCAATTTTGTTGCATGACATCATTCAGAAAATTTATTGAATTGTAATTGAAACTTATTTTTCACTTCTTTCAAAATTCAATTGAATTATATTAATTACCAAGAAGTGTTGGGTAAGGCACCCGCGTAACACAACGCGAAAACAATAGTAAACGGGGGACACTTTCGTAATAAAAACGCATGCATTGTTTATAATTTTGAGTACGTCCTATTTTAATTTGTCTCTAAAGATATTCTCAAGCTTCTAATTTTAAAAATACGTTCTTTTCCGTTCTGTGAATAAGTTAGATATACAGTCTGGTCCGAAAAAAATCGGAATTCAAAAACTTTTGTGAAACATCCAATTGAAATCCGATTAAGATTTTCTAATACAAAAAGACACATGTGCTACGTTGACAATCTTTTTTTTCGTAGAGACGTGCTTTGATATGTCGGCCGAAGCAAAAAAAAAAACGTCGAGAAGTTCTATTACAATTATGGAACGACGGTGAAGCGATGGCATAAGGGAAAACGACCGATTCGTTATGTGCCCAAAAGCCGAATAAAAATTCTTGCATGGAAGGCTTTTTGCGTTAAGGGAAAAACGAGTTTGTTCTGTTTTAAACAGATCATGGATGCGAATTTTACGTTGAAAATCTAAGTAAACATTTACCGGAAATGAGGGGGATGCTTGGGAGTAGATGGCGTTTCCAGCAGGATAACGCCCCCAAGCATACAGGTCGCTTGGCAAAATCCTTTCTTTCAGAAAACATGCCCGAAGTTATAGACTGGCCGTCGAATAGTCCAGATTTGAATCCAATAGAAAACTTATGGGGGATTGTCAAGGGAAACGTAGAAAAGAAAATGCCAAAAACATCAAAGAGTTAGAACAGTTTATGGAGAAAAATTTCGAAATCTACTCTAATTGGGTTGGCACGATCGATGAAGAGGCGATGTGAACTAATAATGGAGAACGCATCTCATATTAAATTTGTCTATTTCTAAACGTCAAATAAAAAAAATTAATGTGATGATCGTAACGCAGTAACAAATAAAAAATTCCGGTTTTTTTGGACCAGACTGTATATCTAACTTATTCACAGAACGGAAAAGAACAAGATAAAGACGTATTTTTAAAATTAGAAACTTAATATCTTTAGAGGCAAATTAAAATAGGACATATGAATTTGTACTCAAAATTATAAGCAATGCATGCATTTTATTACGTAAGTGACCCCGTTTACTATTGTTTTCGCGTTATGTTACGTGGGTGCCTTACCCAAAACCTCTTGGTAATTAATATAATTCAATTGAATTTTGAAAGAAGTGAAAAAAATTTGTCAACGTAGCACATGTGTCTTGGCTTCCCTTTTTGTATTAGAAAATCTTAATCGAATTTTCAATTGGATGTTTCACAAAAGTTTTTGAATTCCGGTTTTTTTGGACATGTAAACAGTGCAATTTGCATAAAATCATTGCATATCAAATCTTTTATAAAAGAGTCCATTGCAACGAAGAATTCGATAATTGAAATAATTGAAGTATATCCATCATGTCCACCGACCATTTAAACATTGAAGTTATGTTGCATCCGGTTCCAGAACGCCTGACTCCGTCAACTCCAACGCCTTATGTCAACTCGATGGAACAATATCAAAAGTTGTATAAAGAGAGCATCACGCACCCGACCCTTTTCTGGGGAAAAGTATGTTGATTCATTCTGTATCAATAACGCGGAACACATTTATTCACTACTTAATTAATTTTCTAGCTCGCCAAGGACATGCTTCATTGGCATAAACCTTTTGAAACTGTCGTTTCTGGTGGTTTCTTGGAAGGTGATGTCACTTGGTTTGCTGAGGGAGAATTGAATGCTACTTATAACTGCGTGGATCGTCATGCAAAAGAAAATCCTGATAAAGTATGTGAATTGCCCTGTATCATAATAATTCCTCTTTTTAAAATGATAATGAACGATGGCAATACTAATAATAATAATAATAATAATAATAATAATAATAATAATAATTATAATAATATAGATTGCAATTATCTATGAAGCTGATGAACCAGATCAGTCTCGATATATTTCATACGGAGTACTATTACGTGACGTCTGTCGTTTAGCCAATACCTTAAAAAGCCTTGGCCTAAAAAAAGGTGATACAGTGGCAATTTATCTCCCAATGGTACCTGAAGCGGTGGTTGCTTTCTTGGCATGTGCAAGACTCGGTATAATACATTCCGTTGTGTTTGCCGGATTCTCTGCGGAAGCGTTGCGTGATCGAATTCAGGACGCAAGCAGTAGATTGGTGATCACCGCTGACGAGGGTCGTCGTGGCGGTAAAACGATTCACACGAAAAAAATTGTAGATACTGCGGTGAAAGAATGTCCGACCGTCGAACATGTGCTCGTTTTTCGTCGTACCGGGAGTGAAATACCATTTAAAGCACCATATGACTTATGGTGGCATGAAGAACTTGAAAAGCATCGGCCCTATTGTGTTCCTGAGGTTATGAATTCAGAAGATCCACTTTTCTTGTTATACACTTCGGGTTCAACCGGGAAACCAAAAGGTATCTTGCATACAACTGCTGGATATTTGTTGGGTGCCGCGGCAACCTTTAAATACGTATTCGATTATCATCCTAACGATATATTTGGATGTATGGCTGATATCGGATGGATTACTGGACACACTTATATCGTGTATGGTCCATTGTGTAATGGCGCTACGACAGTCCTATTCGAATCAACGCCAGTTTATCCGACTCCAAGTCGTTATTGGCAAATTGTGGATAAACATAAAATCACGCAATTCTATACTGCACCAACTGCAATTCGTCTTTTACGTAGACATGGTCGCGAGCATGTTGAAGGTTATGATCTATCAAGTCTGCGAGTAATTGGCACAGTTGGTGAACCAATTAATCCGGAAGCTTGGGAATGGTATTATGAAGTAGTGGGCAAAAAGAAATGTGCTATTGTAGATACATATTGGCAGACTGAAACTGGTGCAGCTATAATTTCTCCTTTACCTGGTGCTATTCCGACTAAACCTGGATCTGCCACGTTACCCTTCTTTGGTATTGAACCTGTGGTGCTCGATCCAATCACCGGTCAAGAATTAAAAAGTAATAACGTAGAAGGTGTATTAGCCGTAAAAAAACCATGGCCGTCATTGGCACGTACTATCTACAATAATCATCATCGATATCTTGACACTTATCTAAGCCAATACAAAGGATATTACTTTACTGGAGATAGCGTAGGAAGAGACAAAGATGGATATTATTGGATTAGAGGTCGAGTAGATGACGTGATAAATGTAGCCGGCCACCGTCTATCAACAGCTGAAATCGAATCCGCGTTAATTACTCACGAATCAGTTGCTGAGGCGGCTGTGATTGGTGTTAAAGATGATCTCACTACTAATGCTATACACGCTTTTACCACCCTAAAACCAAGATTCGCTGATACAACCGACGAGAAAGATTTGATCTTGCAAGTGCGAAAAGTGATTGGTCCATTCGCCGCCCCCAAAAAGATTTATATCGTAAATGATTTACCTAAAACTCGTAGTGGTAAAATAATGCGAAGAATTTTACGAAAAATCTCGGAAAAAGAAGAGGATCAGTTGGGTGATTTGTCTACTTTATCTGATCCTTCAATAATTCCGACGTTGATTGAGAAAGTTCGTAATTCTTAAGATGAAAAATTTCATATTGACAACGATGGTGGATGAAAGTGGAAAGTTATTAGTTATTTGTCTGTCCGTCTCAAATGTAATTACATGTTTTTATTTATTTATTTGATTGATTAAAAAATCTTTTGAATTTAATTTATACTATGTTCCACATGATAGAACGAAAAATTGGTTAAATAAAAACAAGCATTATTTCATAATATTAATGGTTAAATTATGTTTCAAAAGTATTGGACAAATTAAATTTGATGCGTCATATTCCACTAGCGTATATAAAGAGAACACACAATTAATAAATGATTCAAATTACGAAAGCGAGCATATATGAATCATTAAAACATAATATTACCTGATAATAATACAATAAAGTGGCGGCAGGCTGTCCCACCAGACAAAAGCTCATCCAGAAAATCACATTTCCGAACGCGGTTCCTTTTCCTCTCCATTTTTCCAACTGTCAAATGAAAATAGAGCATTCAATACTGACAAACATGACAGATCCAAGAATTAAAAAAAATTTCTTACCGGCTTGGTGATTTCTATCAGAGGTATTTGTGTCTATTTCAAAAATCAAAAATTAGCAGTTTAATTTAACCACCTGACATAGGCATATAATTATAAAAAATCAATTATTACCATCATGCCTAAGAAAGCGAATCCCATAAGCGAATGAGTTGGAATACCGATTAAGAATTCATGGAACGCAGCGGATAATGTAAAGACAACGAGTGATGCCATTCTGGGAGACATGCCATTATCCACCAATGGAGCATATACGTGTCGTTTAAACCATTGATAGACTGGTCGATTCCAAAGACGCCAATAAGTAGCCAAAGAACCAGAATTCCACCAAGCAAGGTAAAAGGTTCGATCACCAAATCGAAGCACCTATCGAGGATAATGATATGATAGAGAATGAGAAATGAGCATAAAGCTATAACTATTTGACACTCACTTCTGCAAGCGCGTTCAAGAAACTGTGAAATAGAGCATAAAACATCAACAGCCAAATTGCCAAGCTGGTCGTGCTCAATTTAAGTAGTCTCTCCGCAATGCTAATTAATGACACCTCATCGATCGCCT